AAAGAAAAAAGAATTTCTTCTAGCTTATATCATCATGGTAGCCACCTCATAAATTTGCTGGATTGAGTGTCGCAATGAGGTAAAGCCCTGAGCTCAGAGCCTGGCAAAGAGTGAACGGTCAATAAGCTGAGTCTGAGTTGGACAGGGCCCATATGATGTTGGAAGAGGTGCTCTCAAACTTCACACATTTCTCTGCACAGATCTGGTGTCTCATCTCGGAAGGACAGGATCCCCGTGGTGGCAAAAGCTTCTGCAGATATCCTTGCCCCATCTGCTCCTTAGACCCACAGAAACTGAGGCGGGGCATGGAGAGCCACAAGGGCTGCAGGTCAGCAGAGGGGGCGCCCTGGGTGGTGGTTGTCACCCTCCAGCCTGCACTTCCATAAGACCTGGGGTGGGCAGGGGATTTAGCTCAGTGGTTCCGCCTGCTTTGCAAGCACAAGGGCCCGAGTTAGATCCCCGGTCCCCGAAAATACAAAAGTAAAATAAAAACCTGGGCTCTTGCCAAGACGTAATGGGGCGATGGGGACTAGCCCTATTTATTGAGTAACTATTTATTGAGCACCTATGCCAGCTTCTTGGATACAGCAGTAAACAAGATAGACAAAACCTGGGCATTGGGAGCCCTCAAACTAGCAGGGGAAACAATGAACAAATAATTACATAATTAATTGCTGTATTAAGGAAAGAGACGGGGTCCTGGGGCTGAGCGGGGAGGAATCTCCCAAAGAACTTACTGCTTTTTCTCAGCCTCTGTGCCCGATCCCCCCAGGTCAGGTGGGGGTACATGGACCACGCGGAGACACACGTGACGTCATCGGGAGCCAGGCCGAAAGGTGGTCCTGGCAGGTGAGGCTGCTTTGGGGGGCTCGGGGAGAGGGTTATTCATCTATAAATGTTCCTGCGGCGCCGACTGTGTGCCCTACACACAGTGTGGACGACGAACGCAGTCCTTTTCTTCTCGCTATATATGGGGTAGACAGAGCGACAGAAAACGGGCAAATAAATAAATGACGAAGGTGGGCGCCAGGGGCGGGGACGCATCTGCACTCGCTGGACACCCCCTCCCCCGCACCGTGCGAAGAGGTCACCGAGCTAGCGCGGAGAGAGCGCGTCCCCGAGAACCAGGGCTTGCGCCCGCGCCCGCGAATCGCTCCCGAGAGCCACGCGCGTCGCCCCCTGGCGGAAGTCCTGGGCAGCGCAAGCCGGGCGCGGGGGAAGGGGGAGGGGGCGCCGCGCACGCGCACGCGCACAGGTCGGCGGCGCGCGCCGAGCGGGGGGCGCCGCGCGTTGCAGCCGCGATGGAAGGGGGTGCGTACGGAGCTGGCAAAGCCGGGGGCGCCTTCGACCCTCACACCCTGGTCCGGCAGCCACACACCGTCCTGCGTGTCGTGTCTTGGGTAAGCACTGGCCGGCGGCCGTGGTGGGGTGTGGGCGAAAGCGGCGCGCCCCAATACCCGGATACCCTGTCACTCTGACACCCCCGGCCCCAGAGGCGCGCCAGCCGACGGAGAGGTACCCCGTCCGCGGAACTGCGTGGGCCGCTCCTCCTTCCTGGACCCCAGCGAAGAGTGCCGGCTCCCAGACACCCCCGTTTCCCGGGAGAGCCACCATTCGCGTGTTCCCCACCCCCGTCGCCGTGACCTCCAGGCGGCGACTGTGCAGCTAACGGCTCCGGTCGCGCGCGGCTGTGGGGATGTACCCCAGGTTTAGGTAGCCGGGGGAGGGGGATTGCTGATCAGGGCGAGGATCATCTCCGCCCGGATCTTCAAAGCCGCAGATGGACGTTGGAGAGGACACAGCATAGGATCTGGTCTGTGTGGTTGAGCCCCAAAGGTGGCAGAGAGGTACAGGAGCTCTAGACCTGGCTTCCTCCGGGAGCTGCATCTCCTGTGCCGCGTGACCTTGGGCTGGGAACCACCCAAGAAATGTTCTCAGGGAGCGAGGAATTCATTTCTGAGGTGGAAAACGCCACCTCTTCTGTCATGCCTCAGTTTCCAATTTATAGCAAGGGTGGGAGGAGCCTCCTGAGGCCCCGTTGGGCTTGGACAATTCCTGAATCCGGAACAACCCCTCCCCCAACAGGGACCTGGATGCCTGTGGGCCAGTGTCCGTGACCGGGAGGAAGGTCCCCTCCCCAGGCGAAGTACAGAGGCCCCTGAGGCCCTGTCAGGACCTGCAGGATCCCCAGTGCACCCAGTGCAAGCCTGGGCCGGGGCTGGGACAGAGTCAGCAGAGAGGAAGGGGTTCAGGTGGCTTGGCCTAAACCTGGGAAAGAAAGCCTGCTGGGCTGGGGGCTGTGGTCCTGGGGGCCCCTGGGTTGGCTGGTGAATCTTGTGCAGTTCCTGGTGGGCCCGGAGCGGAAGGGTCTGGACTGGGACACTGGGCAGGGACACTATCAGGAACCCTAGGGTGCCAGCTTGGTGGCTGGGTGGGACAGCTTTCGTTGTGGTTTTTTTTTATTGTTTTTCAGTACTGGGAATTCAACTCAGGGCCTTCCCTGGACTTTTTTTTTTTTTTTTTTTTTCTCTTTTCAGACAGATTCTTGCCAAGATGTTAAGTTGCTCAGCCTGGGTTTAAACTTTCTATCCTCCTGCCTCAGCCTCCCAGAGTGCTGGGATGCATCAGGCCAGCTTGGGTAGTTACCTCTGGCTCCCAGAGCAGAAAGAAGCTAATCTTTCTTTTCTTTTTTTTTGGGAGGGGGATCTTTTGTTGTTGTTGTTTTGTGTTTTGAGACAGAGTCTTACTATGTAGTATAGGCTGGCCTCGAACTCACAGCAATCCTCCTGCCTCAGCCTCCCCCACCCCCTCAGTGCTAGGATTACAGACATGTGCCACTATGCCTGCCTTGAGCTACACTTTCTTTGTCTAAAAAAGTTAGATCCCCTCCTGGGACTGCAGGAACGGTGACCAGGTTTAAATGCCCACCAGGTGGGCAGTGCTTTGAGGACAGGGAAGCCTGGTTTTGTTGGTGTCTGTGTCCCTGCACCCAAGGTACATCCATGAGGGCTGCGGCACTGAATGTGTTCATCTGTGACAGTTTCCAGCTCCTAGAGTCCCTAGAGCACCAGTTAGGGGGGCCAGCTGTGTAACTGCTCAGGTTTGCCAGCCTGGAGCCTCTGGCCTGGGAGGGTGAAGGCGCTGGCTTGTGCGGGGGTGTGGGTGTTGTCTGCTTGGGTCATTGGTGCCTGTGATGGCTTTATTTGGCAGAGCTTTATTGAGTCTGCCAGGCCCTGAGGGAAGATGGCATGACTCAGACCCTGCCTGGTACTTAGGGAGCCCTCAGTCCTACTGGGGAGGGAGCTAGGTGCCCCCAGGCAGAGGCCGTGAGAGTTAGGAGGGGTCTCCCTGCCTGGAATGGGAGGAGCTGTGTGGAGCAGGGGGAGTCCCATTAGGCCTAGCAGGATGGGAGGTTATGCTCATGCACATCGGGGTGAACGGAGGACATGGCAAGCAGGGAAAAGAGCGCACAGACCCCAACTAGGTCCCCAAGCTTACACTGAAGGAACTGAGGCTTCCTGAGGCCAAGCAACTGGCTGTGGGTAACCGAGCATAAAAGTGTCACACAAGCATTGGAACCCGGATCTCCTGTCCCCAAAGCAGGGAGAGTGCCGAATCCTGAGATTTCACAATTAGAAAAGGCAGAAGGGTCCAATGCCCATGTCCCCATCCCTCCCAGCCCTGCCCACACCTGCATGCCAGTGCTCTCTCCCTTGGTCCGAGCAGAGGCATCTGATACAGACTGACTGACACCTTGGGAAACAGATGAAAACAAATAAGCTTTTCACAAAATTTCATTAAAGCAATACCTGCTGATTATTGGAAAATATAAACATCTCATGTAGCAGTTGTGTAACAACATGAACATGCTTAATTCCATCGAACTATACCCTTAAAACTGTGGCATTGGGGCTGGGAGTGAGGAAAACAAACCAGAAAAGTAAATTTCATGTTATATGTATTTTACCATAATGGAGAAAATTGGGAGATCACAGGGATTTAGGGAAGGCTGCAGTTAATATGATACTGTCTCTTCAGGTCTTTTAAAAATATTTGGAGCTGGCTGGTGGCACACACCTGTAATCCCAGCAATTTGGGAGGGTGAAGCAGGAGGATCAAAAGTTTGAGCCCAGGGCTGGGGATTTAGCTCAGTGGTTCCACCACTTGCCTCGAAAGTGCAAGGACCCAGGTTCGATCCCTGGCACCAAAAAAAAGTTTGAGCCCAGCCTGGACAACTTAGCAACTTAGTGAGACCCTGTCCCCAAAATTTAAAAATGCTGAGGATGTCATTCGGTGCTAAAGTGCTGGGTCCATTCCCCGGCACTACACACACACACACACACACACACACACAC